CGGGCCGAGAACCTGGGACGATTGCATGAGCTTCTATGACGGTGCCACACATCAAATTCTAAAAATTGCTCAGCTGCAACTCAGGTTGATGCTTATTGGCGGGGACCCGTATGTAAGCCGGGAGGATTTACTGGATTATGCAAAAGACACCTTCGATCGAGGGTGTGCAATGGTGAATTTGCCCGAAAGTAAGTATCAAGTTTATTATGTAATATTATCATAGCCGAGGGGTTCGTATGAACGCTCATACACAGCACTCTGCCCCATTTTCTGCCTGTTGACTTCTTTTGGGCTCTAATATTCCCACGATCGAGTGCTGGTATGGGCTGCCATCTGCAGCACTTGTTCGTTCGATTCTTTGTTTTTCTCATCCATCTGCCTGGTACTCTGGTGCCAGTAAAGTGTCCAAAGGACGCAACAGACAAAGCGGGGGATGTTTTAACGGGTTGCGTCTTGTACTCAGTCCTACCTCATTCCACGTGGCGATCCCAGTCAAACAGACTAGTTGCAACCCAGAACACTGCCTTCTTTCTCTTTTGCTGTCAACATTAGCGAATACTTTCCATACTAACTCATGTTCCTCCTAGGCGAAAAGCCTAATTATACAGATGGGATGGCTGACCTCGTAAGTGAGAATGTTCTTGAAGTTTGGGTGAGGCTGACTCGTTTACAAGTTGATGAAAGAAAAGTGGAGCACCCGGGCAAAGTTTAGGCTGGTTGCCAGAGATGTCGTTACAGAACACTATATTTACAGCCTGCCCACCCCGCCAGAGGCTAAGGGAAAACCTAATGAGGCAGCGCTTCGTGCCAAGCAGTTGGCTGCCCACGTCACAACTCTCATAGGGCCGAAAAAAGGTACGGCAACAATGGACTTCGCGATTTCAGAAGAGGTAGGTCCATTTTTCCCTTAGTCTGTTGTATCTGTCTGACCTCATTTTGGCCAATGGCAACAGGGTGTAGCATTCGCCCATCCGTCTATCAAAGATCTGATAGTCAAGTTTCTTTTCAATCCAGTAGGGAAGGACAGGCCGCTCGCTGTCCTAAATGAGAACCGAGTCATCGATAACATCCCACTACCAGCAATAGCATTTGCTGCCACTACTGTACGTAACTCTTTTCTACCAAACTCATACCCGATTGATGTACATCAGCAGCTTTACTGCTGCCTGCGCGAATGGCAATCTGGACAACTAAGGAAGCTTTACTTCCGAGAGCATCCCTACGAAGCCATTTATAAGTCGGTTCACAAGAACCTCGTTCAATACCAGCAATCCGGGACTCGTAGCGAAAAGCTGGAAAAGCTGCGGAAAGACATTCTTGCAGCTGGAACGTAAGCTGGTTTCAATTGCTTTTAAGTTATGCCCGCTCAAATTTGTTATGCAGGAGAAGGGTAGGACAATTGGATACGGAGGATATTGACATGCAAATGCTGTTCGAACCTTCGAGCCCCTGAGGGTTGGGGGGCTGGCTAGCATGGATGGATTGAGAATATGAGGAGGAAATTTGGGGTATATTGTTACGCAATGCTTTGTTTTAATTACCAGCCTGGAATCAAATTATCATATTTCAAAAAATCATCCACTGCCCCAGACTGTCAGTTTACAGTCAAACCTCTTGTTAAGCATACTGTCGTTAAGCATAAGCCTGCCGTTAAGCATAGGCTACACGGTGAAAAGTCATTCATTATAACCAGGATTGATCCGTCATTAGGCATAACCTCTTGCTAAGTATAGGCGGAGGTGTCCAGGCAATGCTTAACAAGAGGTTCGACTGTACTCATTGATCTGACCAACGGGTCAATCAACTCAGGGATCTCACCCATAAGGAACACAGCTGTCCGCAGGTCCGCTTTTCCTATAGACCAATAACTAGTCGATTATACAATCACAGGACTGGAGGACCAAGTCCTACCGTGCTATGAAATACTAAGTGTCGGATGTGGGCAAAGTGGATGCCAAGACCTGGTAGCTCAGTGGTAGAGCACCGACCCGGAGGTTTGGGGGTCATGGGTTCAAGCCCCATCCAGATCATGTTTTCATTACTAAGAGCACTAACTCCACTATGGAACCCTAACACACTACCTCGCTACAAACCCTAAGACAACTAAACTACACTATGACAACTATGCAACTATGCACTACCTCGCTAAGGTGAGTTCTGTAGCGCTAGGAAGTTGATAGCAAACTATTCGCCGCTATGTTGCTATGGTAACTTGGTAGCGCTACCAAGCGTCGGCTAGTTTTTTAAGGTTTCCTGATGCTAGTGATGTAGACCAGCGACGTGATGTGGATCGCGAACCGAATCAGAATTGAAAGCAGGACATAAAGATTGAAGATGTTGCGCTCGCGCGATAGTTTTTCTACAGGCTGCGCAGCAAAGGGGTGTGAGGCGGAGTGGTCTCACAACAAACACAGACAATGACCTGAGTCCAATGGATGAGTGCAAAAGATAATATATTAGAGAAACTAAACATGCCTGAGTCCAATGGATGAGTGCAAAAGATAGAGAGCACCATCCATGGACTCTGCCGCTTCAAGGGAAGCATTACATAATACATCAACATGTCAGGAGACGCAGAACAACAAGTCAGGAGTTCAAGTCACCTGGTACGCAAAATAATAAAAGGAATAAAGTGTCCAAGATCATACTATATCCAATACTCCCCCCTGATCTGACACGCCTGTCAATCACAAAAGACCTAGCATGCCTCGCATCTCAATCACCTTCACGCGTCCAAGCGCCTTGGTCATGATGTCAGCCGGCATAGACTTGGTGGGGAGGTAGTGAATGTCAATAAGACCTGATTCAACCACATCGCGCAGCCAGTAGTGCCGCAAGTCCAAGTGCTTCATCCGTCCATGGTGTTCAGGGTTCCTGGCAACAGCAAGGGCAGATTGGTTGTCCACATAGAGTGTGGAAGGCGCATTGAACTCATAGCCAAATTCAGAGAACAAGTTGCGCAACCACATAATCTCCTGACCACCCTGGACAGCAGAGATGTATTCCGCTTCAGTGGTGGAGAGTGTCACAATAGTCTGAAGTCGACTAGCCCAGCTGATAGCACCAGTTCCCATCTTAACCACCAGGCCGCTTGTAGAGCGCCTGTCATCCTCATCCCCTCCATGGTCCGCGTCAGTGAATGTGGTGAACAATTCAGACGAGTTCTTGTCAGGCGCATAAGTCAACTTCATGTCTTTGGTACCTTGAAGGTAACGACACAAGTGCTTTGCAGCCTTCCAGTGAGCAGGACCAGGATTAGAACTGAAGCGCGCAAGAAGTCCAACCGCATATGAGATGTCAGGACGCGTTGCCACAGCCAGATACATGAGTGCACCAATCAGCTGCCTGTAGGGGACAGTCTTCATGAATGCGATCTCTTCTGGAGTGAGGGGACCCATGGACTTGCTGAGACGATGGCCTTCTGGCAATGGAGTAGAAACCTCGCCGCATCCAGCCATTTCAAAGTGCTCAAGTAAGTCAGTGATGTACTGGCGCTGAGATAGGGATAGGGATCGGATTGAGCGGTCTCTCTCAATATGGACGCCAAGCAGGAAGGAGGTAGGGCCGAGGTCGCGCAGTTTGAAGTGCTTTTCAAGTTCGCGCTTGACAAACAAGAATTGCTCCTTTGACTTTGCAGCAATGGTCATGTCATCCACATAGACTGGAATGATGATGCGCACATCGTCGCGTCTATAGACCCAAATGCTGTTGTCGCAGCGAACCAAAGAGAAACCCATGCCCTTCAACACAGAGTCAAGTTTCTTGTGCCATTGGCGCCCAGCTTGCTTAAGACCATAGATCGCCTTAGCAAGCTTAAGCACAAAACCGGCACCATAGTACTCCTCAAATCCTTCAGGCTGGTCCATGTAGACGTCATGATCCAAGTCACCATTGAGGAACGTATTGGATATAGTATGATCTTGGACACTTTTATTCCTTTTATTATTTTGCGTACCGGGTGACTTGAACTCCTGACTTGTTGTTCTGCGTCACCTGACATGTTGATGTATTATGTAATGCTTCACTTGAAGCGGCAGAGTCCATGGATGCTGCTCTCTATCTTTTGCACTCATCCATTGGACTCAGGTCACTGTCTGTGTTTTGTTGTGAGACCACTTCGCCTCACAGGTTATGAGCCTTGCACTGTAACTTCACGACAACGTTCAGTACATCGTCGACAACTTCCTCCTTGATTTTCGTTCAAATCGGAGTTGATCTGGTCCCTCTGGAAGAGTTTTTGGAAACTGCAAAGTTCTGGCTGTTCGGATTGGGCTGTAATCGCAGGGTTGGGTTCTGTGGTGTGTCCGTCGTCTTTGTGTCGATTTTTGTGCCGCCATTCGCACTTGCTGGCACTCTACACCCCTCTGCTTCGACATCCATCCTTATCATCCTCTCATCTCCACCCTCTGCTTTTCGTCTCATCGCTCGAAATCGGCTCGACGGATCGTGCTGAAACTTCGCACGTCGTCTCGTACCTCTGGTCCCACTCGTCGTACCAACTTGTGGCCGATTCGACTTCGATTGGAGGGTGCTGCATCGATTTCGACTTTTGCAGTCTCTATCTGTCTGTTTGTCTGCTCCCTGCATCATCTTTGCATAGCGGACTCAGTTCTTGCTCGATCGCTCTGCGATTTTACACACGTGCTCGTGCTCACGTCGTCTCGGTGTGTGTTGATTTGCGCCTCAACCGCTCCACCCGTTCCCTCTCTGTGTCGCGTTTTGCGCGGTTTGCCAGCTCTGGTACCTGACAGTTCAGACCCATTCCATTTGATTTGGTTGTTGTTGGATCAGATAGTCTATTGGTTGTGAAGCTCGACTGCAGGGCCTTAGTTTGCCCTTTGTGACGCTCTTTTGAGTGTTTACTTAAGCCTAGAGCCTCTCTCAACCAGCGGTGCCTGCGGAGTCTTAACAGACTGACAGACCAGCACTGTCTTGCAACGATTCTGTGTATACATCAATTATTTTGGGTGTTTGGAATCTGTTTGGCTGGTATTGACCTGATATCTGCAAATCGCGTAATTCGGCTTGTACACGTTTTCGGCCATCACACCCCAACCGCTTGTCCGTTTGATCCCCAACTTCGCACTCACACTCGCACCACCATCGTCTACCATCGCTCGCATCGTCATGTCCGCATCTACCACCTCCGACTCGCAATCGACATTTTCCTTCGCTAAGCTCAATGACAGCAACTATGCGACATGGAAACTCGAAATGCGAGCTGCCCTCCAGGCCAAAACTCTCTGGCGCATCGCTTCTGGCATTGCGACCAAACCGTCAAAGGCAGAGGAGCAGGAGGCATGGGAGGAGAAATCGGAGCAAGCAGCTGGCTTTATCTACGGAAAACTCGAGCATGGCATGCAGATCCTAGTTCAGGACGATTTGGATAACCCAGTGGAGATGTTGAAGAAGCTGAAGGAGCTTAACCAGCAGGACAATGCGGCATCGCGTTTTATTGCCTATGACGAGTTCTTCAGCATTGCCAAAGCTGAAGATGAGTCGCTTACTGCTCTCACTGCTCGCGTTGAGGAGTCGTTGCACAAGCTCAGGAATGCACGCAGCTCCAAGCTCACCCTTGTCCAGTTCGAGGATGAGCTTGCATCCATGTGTCTTATTCGCGCCCTCCCAGACGAGTACAAAGCCTTTCGATCTGCCCTCCTTCTCATGCCTACCTTCACCCTCGAGACGGTCAAGAAAGCGTTCTTGCAGGAGCAGAAAGCCAGTGGCCCTCGTGCTGCAGACTCTGCACTCGCCCTCAAGGCCTCTGCTCCACCCTCCAAATCGACTTCATCGTCCTCCTCCTCGTCTCAGCCTCTTGTCTGCGATTTTTGCGGCATGAAGAACCACCTTGAAGCAACTTGCTACAAGCGTAACGATGCGATTAAGGAGTTGAAGGACAAGAAGAAGAGAAAGGGCAAGGCAAAGGCGAATGCGGCGCAGGAGGACACAGAGTCGACTCAGTCTGCTGAGTTTGCTGGCAATGCAAGTACCCATGACTTCACCAATCCCAACTCGCCCCTCCTCTCTGATGCAGGATCTGACTGGATTGTTGATACAGGCGCCACTTGCCACATGACACCTCATCGTCATTGGTTTAATCAATATACCCCTAATCGCACACCTATCCACCTCGCCAACAACGACGTTATTTACTCAGTTGGATGGGGACTGCCCGCTTTCAACCAGTGGTCAATGGAAAGAAGGGTCGTCTGCTAGAGTTTGAGCGTGTTCTTCATGTACCAGATCTCAGAAACAATCTCCTCTCAGTCCTGTATTTAACTCGTGTCAAATCCTACATTGTCACTATCAAGTCTGATCAGATCCTATTTCGTCGCAACGGCACTCTCCTCTTCACTGCTGCAATCAACACCAACTATGCCGCGTTCCTCAATGGACAAGTTGTGCCCATGACCCAATTTTCTGGCATGGTTAGCACCTGTCCACTCGACTTAACGCTCTGGCATCGTCGATTTGCACACCTGAATCATGGGGATGTCAAGAGACTGATTGATCATGACATGGTTAAGGGGATTATTGTGAAGTCTATGGAGTCGCCTGACCCAATCTGCGAGCCTTGCATTGCAGGCAAGCAGCATAGGTCGAATGTCTCAAGACTTGCATCTCATCGCTCTACTGGTCTATTGCAGCTGGTCCACTCTGATGTGCATGGCCCTCTGCCAGTTCAAACTCGGCATGGCTATCGTTACTGGATCACATTCATTGATGATTACAGTCGGCGCTGGGGAGTCATACCCCTTAAGAAGAAAAGCGATGCGTTTGACGCTTTCAAGCGCTACAAAGCACATGCAGAGAACCAGCTCAACCTGAAGATCAAAGCGACACGCGATGACAAGGGAGGAGAATACATGCCCAAGGCATGGGAGCAATTCTGCATTTCTGAAGGGATTCACCGGCAACACACTGTTCGTGATGAACCCCACCAGAATGGAGTAGCTGAGCGAGCTAATCGCACTTTGGCTGAGGGCATTACCACTATGCTGAACGAAGCACACCTACCTGCCAGTTTCTG